CACGGCCAAACTTTCGATGAGAGTGGCGCAGAAGGCATGCGCCGCGCCGAGGCAGCAGCGCCCCTCACATGCGGCATCTGCACGGCGCATCGGACAGGAGTCAGAGCTCGCCCCGGTGCGGCCGGCCCTGGTGCCGCTCTCTGACGCCTCGGCGAGTGCAGCATGCGCGCTGCGGCCAAGCGGGCGCGCCCCTCTGCCGCGGCGTCTGCGCGCTCCTCAGACCCTGGGTGGGGACATCGCTGCCGATGTCCCCACCCAGGGTCCACGCGCCAGATTGACGAGGTTGAGGCATTCGGGGTCAGCAATCCATGTCCAGACTTGAACGAGTAGTGTCAGAGATACGGGGATTTAGCAGGCGTGTATGTGTAGTATCTGTGCTTATCTTGATTGTTACAGCAGCGCACGCGTACGCAGGGCGCCCTTTTAGGATCAAGGGTATTAAAGCATCCTTATCATCGATCCCCGCCCGCCTGGGCGGACTCTCATGGTAAGCGGAGCGTGACAGCTCCGGGACCTGCGCATCATAGGCCGCTGGGCTGGGCCGCCGCGCCCGGGCGCCCCGCGGCAGGCGACGGCCGCAGCCGCCGCCAGAGGTCGCCGCACCTCCTCTCCGCCGCCGCGGTCACCACCGCGGCAGTCGTGTCAGCCCACGACGACGAGCCCTCCGCCGAGCCGGCCGAGGGCACCATCCTGTGCAACAACGCTGCTGCTGCTGATCATTCCCATCCTCACGAAGAAGATGTCCATCGAGCTGGACAGGGATGGAGTCCCTCAGTATGCAGGCCAGCCAGAGTATTTCAATGAATACGAAGAGCGAGCCTGGGATCTCTATCATGGCAGGACTGGCGAGAGGTCTAAGCAGGCCGCGACGGCGCTGCATCTACGATCAGGCCTTTCTGGTCCAGCCTACGAGGCAGTGCGCAAGCTCAAACATGAAGAGCTGATAGCTACTGATGAGTCTGGAGAATCAAGGCCGGACGGGCTCACTCTTTTCCTCACGACGTTGAAGAAATAAGTTCAAGATATTGCGCCCGTCCGGAGCACCGAGATCTTCGACAAGGCTTTGTACGGATCATCGGTCTGGCGCGACCGCAACGAATCCATGGCCAACTATGTAACAAGGAGGCGAAAGGAGTTCGCAGAGTTGCAGGAGGTCAGCGCCACGACTACGATCTCAGAGGACATCCAGGCCGCACTGATCCTCAGATTCTGCGGCATCAGCATGAAGGAGCAAGCCGCAGTCCTCGCCTCCAACAAGAACGAGTACAAGCTAGCCGGCATCGAGTATGCTCTGCGGGCTCAGTACCCAGCGGTACATCGACAGCAGGACCGACGCGCTGATCGCCGAGAGCGATCCGCCTACGCTTACGCCGCGTCGGAGCAGGACGAGAACCAGTCAGAGCTCGATCACATCTATTACGAGGACGAGGACGAGGACGGCTACTACCAGGGCGAGGAGGACGACTACGAGCACGGCGAGGACGACGAGTTCGACATCGAGAACTACGTCGCGGAGAACCTCGACGAGCTTGGCACCGAGGAGGCAGAGGCCCTCGCCCTCGTTCTGCAGAGCCGCAACAAGATCTTCAGCCGCAACAAGATCTTCAACAAGAAGAAGCCGCCTAGGCGAGTGACTTCGAGCTTCCACGGTCGTGGCAAGGCCGGTGGAAGGGGAGGCCGTCGGGGAGGCGGCAAGGGATTGACAACCAGGTCGCCCGCAGGGCGAGGAGGCAGCAGCAGTTCGAGTAGTGCTGTCCCTGGCTACGACGACCGACAGCGAGATGCTCGCCGGCAGCGCATCGCCTTCTTGAAGAAGCGGACCCAGTGCTCCGACTGTCACCAGTTCGGGCATTGGCAGGGCGATGATGTTTGCCCCCGTCGGTCGAGCCGGAAGCCTACATCAGTGTCTCCAGCAAAGAAGCCCGCTCAGAACTACTTCGCGCTCGAGGAGCACGGGGGCAACGACGACGACAGCGAGCCGTCCGAGGTCTTCATGGTTCTAAAGGGCGAAATGGAGCACGTCTGCGAGCACGTGGCCGACGACGCCTGCGAGAAGGTCGTCCGCGGCGCCAACAAGACCACCAGGTACATCACATGCAGGGAGTGCGACCGCCACTTCGCGCTCGCCCACCGCAACAAAGGGTTCGAGCTGTGGAGCTACTTCATGAAGGCCCTGATGGGCACGAAGTGGGGCCGCTTCCTGTCCCGCAAGGAGTTCGCGAGGCGGATTGCCCTGGTGGCCGACGCCCTGATGGTCCAGGGTCGCCTCCCATCTACGTATCGGAGACGGACGGCGGCGCCCGCAGCGCGACGCCTTTCCGGCAAGCAGCGGCTATTCGGCCGGCTGCCTGCAAGAGGCGATGGACCACGTGCACCTACACTGGCGGCAGCATCTGCGGCCAGTTCTGCCAGGCCGATCGCTACTGGATCAGCACCGGCCGCACCGCCTACACCCGAGAAGCGCATCATCAAGGTCGACTTGACCCAAGGCGACCCCGAGCCGAAGCCGGGACCAGAGCTGGCCTTCCTGTACGGCATCCCGCTTCACCACAGCATCGAGCTGGTGGAGTTCCCGGATCTCGACGGCGTCGACCAGCTCAACCTGGTCCCGTACCCAGCGGAGGTCATCAACTTCGGCACGCGCAAGGGGCGAACCTTCCAGGATGCGGCGTCCGACCCGGCACTCATCTGGTACAACAAGTGGGCTCTGGACCAGGTCTTGGGCCCCGAGGCGGAGGAGATCAACCTCCACTTGTACCGCTACGCGTATTTCCTCTACGCCATTGTGAAGATCGCGCGTGGCAAGTTCAACGTTGCCCCGCAGCGGATGATCGACGGCGACAAGAGGAGGCTCCCCGCCGACAACGATTGGATGGAGGTCAACGCCGGCGGCTTCGCCATCCCGATTCAGCCCAACATCCATCAGCCGGACGTCATCTCTACCTACGAGTGCTCGGTCATGGCCGCCACTACCGGCAATGCCTTCTCGGCGCACGACAACGACGCCGACGCCGTGCTCGCCATCATCGACACTGGGTGCGCGCGTACCATGCGCGGTGAGTCGTGGCGGGCAGCCTTCGAGCGTAAGCTCGCGAGGCGCGGTCTACAGGTAGTGAAGACCCCGACCTCTCGTACATTCAGAGGGATCGGCGGCCGCGCGAGGAGCACCACGGCGGTCCGTTTTCCCGTGGGCATTGGAGGAAAGTGTGGCGAGATTCTGTCGTGTGAGGTGCCGGGCGACTGCCCGATGCTGCTCAGCAGGGACATGCTCACCAAGCTTGGGCTGAGCATGCGGCTTTCCACGGAGGGCGATGTCGCCGACTTTGTCAACATTGGCGTCTACAACCTGAAGCTCCACCACACTAAGGTGGGCCACCCGGCGGTCAACCTCCTTGACCTGCCGAACGAGAGCTACGAGACGGCCGAGTGGGCGGCGCTGACGATGCCCGAGGATCACCACCTCGAGTACTACCCCGAGAAGTTCCACGTCGGCATCACCTACGTCGAGGAGAGCTCAGTTGAGCCTCTCCCCAGCTTCCTGGACATCGAGATCGGCGAGACTACGGACGACGAGTGCCTCCAGACGGTCGTCGACCACGACTACGGGCCGGACGTCTTCGCCGCCGAGGCGATCGAGTGGGGCGGCGAGCGCAACCTCACCAACAAGAAGTCCAAGAAGCTCGAGCATTCCCTGCAGGCCATTGCCGTGCAGGATGAGGTGGTGCAGGCCGTCGTGGAAAAGCATCCGCCCAGGGCCCGGCTGCCTGCAGGTGCCAGGACATGGGTCAAGCAGACCTACGCTGGCCAGATGGGTTTGACAGTGCTCATGGCCGCGATGGGCCTCTCGGTCGGCGTCCCACTGAACAAGCGCACGGGCTGGGGCGCTACCGCCAGGCTGGGCAGGCAGAGGTGCGACGCGGAGATCACCAACGAGGAGCCGTGCTGCCTCGTGGTCTCGCACCCCTGCTCGCCGTGGGGCAACTGGAGCAGATTCAACATGGCCCGTTGCCCGGAGACCGAGAGAGGAAGATCTTGGCCAAGCGCGAGGCGAACCGCCCTATTCTCAGGCAGGTGGACTCCTCAGTGGACAGCCGAGTGCGGAGGGGCTTCCACGTGGCGCTGGGGCACCCCCAGGGCTCCGAGGCCTTCGACCAGCCGGAGATGTCAAGGATTCGTTCTCTCCTGGACAAGGGCATCCTGAGGAAGGTTACCTTCGACGGCTGCCAGGTTGGGTACCGCGATGCCGAGTCAGGCTTGGCTCACCGCAAGCCCATGATGATCATTGCCACTATGGACGCGCTGGTCGAGGCCCTTTCCGACAAGAAGTGTAGCTGCACCCAGCACGAGCAGCTAAAGGGCCGCAACAAGTTCGGGCCGCGCACCCTGCAAGCGGCCGAGTGGCCGGAGGAGCTCAACCACATCGTCGCCCGCAGCATCGTACAGCAGGCCATCGTCGACAACGCCACGGACACCGACTGGCAGTTCCCTGCAGAGGACGGTCCAGACCTCCGTGGGCCAGTTCGACTACGACGACGGACCAGACTGCGGGGGCACCCGTACCGGGCAGCCATGGCGCAGCCAGCGCCACCGCCTGACCCGAACGTGCCTGAGCCTGCTCCTCCTCCAGCTGATCAAGAAGCTGTGGGGGAGCCACCACCTCCGCCAGCCGTCGATCCCGACGGCGAGCGAGCCCGAGAGGCCGCTCAGCTCGGCCCCATCACCAACGCCAAGGAGGCCGAGCGGCGCAGGCGATGGCTGGGGGCCCCGCCAGAGGTCAGGAAGGCCAACCGCCAGCTCCACGTCAACTTCCACCAATGTTCGAACGTGACGCTGACCAGGCTGCTGAGGCGCCGAGGAGTCAAGCCGGAGGTGCTGAAATAGGTGGAGTTCTTTTCCTGCGACGCCTGTGGCGACGCCGTCCGTCGGCGCGCCCCACGACCTTCGCGGTTGCCAGGTCAGTACGTGTTCAACTACGCCATCCAGCTGGGCACCTTCCACGCCTACGACGCCGCCGGGACCCCCTACTTCTTTATGAACTGTATCTGCGAGGGGACGAACTTTCAAGTCGTGTACTGCATGGGCCCGGCTCGTGGATCACCGACAGCACGTGCCACTACCAAGGCGTTCACTACCAGCTGGACCCCGTGGGCTGGCTACCCAGAGAAGCTCACGGTGGACCTGGGCAAGGAGTGGATGAAGGATTTCGCCTCCAACGCGAAGGCGCATGGCGTGCAGGTCGACCTGGCCCCGTTGGAGACGCCGCACCTCATCGGCAAGTGCGAGCGCCACGGGGGCATTTGGAAGGAGATCTGGCGACGTACTGTCGCCGACTCGCAGGTCACAGGACTGGACGACGTCGAGGAGACTGCCTCCATCGTGACCCAGGTCAAGAACGAGCTGGGCCGACGCGGGGGGTTCTCCCCTTCGCAGTGGGTCTTGGGGTCTCATGGGCCCCGTGTCCCAGGAAGCCTCCTGCAAGACGACGAGGCGCAGCGGTTGGAGGTCATCGAGGCGTCGCTCGACCCCCAGTCTGCCATGGCCCGCACCATGGCCCTGCGCGAGGCGGCCCGCATCTCACACGTCCGCCTCGACTCCGACGACCGCGTCAAGCGCGCCATCCTGCGCAAGGCGCGGCCTAGCCGAGGCCCTTTCAACATTGGGGCCATCGTGTACTTCCGCCGGTCGCAGACCCGAGTCGGCGAGAGCCCCGAGGTCACGCACCGCTGGTTTGGGCCAGCCCGGGTTATCGGGCATGAGGTGCGCGACCCACGTCACCTCTCTCGCGACGCGGACGAGCCCGTCGGCACACTGGCCCATGCAGTGTGGCTGCGCTACGGACACACCACCGTGCTCGCAGCTCCTGAGTCGCTCAGGTTCGCCTCCGAGGACGAGCTGCTCGCCATGCACACTTACGTGAACCCAGACCTGTTGTCCCTTCGGTCACTGAAGGGGGCCAGGCACTACGTCGACATCTGGGCCGATGCAGCAGCAGCCTCGCCCGCCCCGATGCCCAGGCCGCAACAGCACGCGGCTGGTCACGGAGGGGTGGTTGGGGGCGCGCTCGGATCTGCCGGACCAGGACCTGGCGTAAATTTCGATTTCGACGAGTTCAACACCGAGGACCATCTACCACAGCAGCTGGTCGATCCTCCACCGCCGGCACACGAAGTACCACAACAAGCATCTCCAATCATTCAGGATACCGACGACGCACTACTACCACCGCCAGCTCAGCATCAGCCACCTCCTGTGGTCCCTGAGCCGCCACGCCCGGGGCTACCAGAGGCAGAGGGGCCGCCGCGCTCGTACGGCCCAGGCGAGCCCAGCATTCATTCCGAAGTTCAAAGTCATCGGATCGATCCTCGAGTATCCCAGGAGGCTATCGACAAGCCGGTGCCCCAGGATGACGAGGCTGTCGACAAGCCGGTGCCGGACGACGAGATGGGCGTGGGCCTGGATCGCGGGGAGAAGCGCAGAGGCCTGTCACTTACCCAGCTGGGCAAAGCCATGCGCGATCCGGAGCGTCTGGATCGGGGTTCCATCAAGAAGCCTCGTGCCTTCCAGGGCTACGTGGAGGAGGAGCTCAGCGTCATGGAGGATGCCCTCCACGAAGTGTTCCTCACCAGCGACTATAAGCCGGACCTGGCTGTCGCCTACGAGTGGCGTCGCACCGACTACGACATCAAGAAGTTCATCGCTACGGGCAAGCGTGGCCCTCGCTGGTCCAAGGTGCTTCGCCGCATCACCAGAGACATCAAGACAGGCATCGTGATCGATGACATCGACGTCAGAGGTCTTGCTCTTCACGATGCTCGCCTTCGTCGGCCTCTGCCTGGTGGCATCACCGCGGTCGAGACCATCTTCGTTCACGCCGACGAGGACGTGGGCACGAACGACACAGTCGAGTTCGCCTATCTCACCAAGGGCGCGGTCCGCTCCGAGATCAGACTTCAAGACCTCGCCCCAGAGCAGAGGAAGGAGTTCGATCAGGCTATGGCCAAGGAGTGGCGCAGCTGGACTGAGTTCCAGGCCGTCGAGGTGCTGAGCTTTAGCCAGGCCAAGGAGCTCCTCGACAGGGGTGCCTCCCCAGTTGGGACGCGCTGGGTCCACACGGACAAGAACGCTAAGAAGCGCAACCTCAAGCATACCTACGACGACATCCCGCTCGCTGCCAAGAGTCGGCTCGTCGTGCAGGGCTGCCGGGAACGAGGAGATGATATCCGAGGCGACGCTCCTACTGCTAGCCTTTTGGCTTTCCACCTGGTCGCCAGCTACGCTGCCTCCCATCGGTGGCAGATAAGGACAGCTGACGCTGCGACGGCCTACCTGCAGTCCAAGGGCATTGAGCGCATCCTGCTTCTTCGAGCCCCTCGTCCTCCACCACCTGGAGTTCCGGAGGGGTCTTGCATGCGCGCCCGCGGCGCAATCTACGGCGCCGAGGACGCGGGCAGGCAGTGGTGGCTGCATCTGCGCGCCATCCTCGTGGAGCAGGGTTGGCGCGAGTCCATCTACGAGCCCTGTCTGTTCATGCTCAGGGACAGCAGGGGCAAGCTCAGCGGCTTGCTGTGCACGCACGTCGACGACCTCTTCGTCACGGGCGCGGGCGAGCAGTTCGAGCGCGTGATGGAGATCATCAAGGACAAGATTCGCCTTTCTTTCCAGTCCGACACGTTCAGGTACTGCGGCAAGGTCGTGGAGCAGGACAACCAGACTTTCGACATCAAGATCGGACAGGCCGCTACGGTCGAGGCGCTGGAGTACATCACCCTCGAGCCGCACCGCCGGCGCAAGCCCAATGCGCCACTCACCCCGGAGGAGATCTCTGCCCTCCGTAGCGGTGTTGGGTCGCTTGGCTGGGTAGCACGGCAGACGCGCCCCGACCTGGCCGTCCACGCTTCACTTGGGGCTCAGGCCATGAGTGGCCCCAAGATCCGTGACATTGTTGCAGTGAATCGTGCCATCAAGATGGCTAAGGACGACGTTGATTTTAAGCTGATGTTCTCATCCCGCCTGGACTGGGACAGTGCCATCGTGTTCGGCTGCGGGGACAGCAGCCATGGCAACATTGACGACCTTGCGCTAGGAGAGAAGATTAAATCCCAGTGCGGCTATATCATCGGCATGGCGTCGCCCGACCTCGAGACGGACGCCACCGCGATCATGCATCCGCTGGAATGGGCTAGCGCGACGATCAAGCGAGTGGTTCGTGGATCGCTAGCGGCTGAATGCAACGGTTTCTTGACGACGGCCGAGAGTGCGGAGTTCCTCAAGCGCGTGGTCGCCGAGATCTCCGACCCCGGCTACTCATCCTACCAGTTCGACCCGTTCTTCGACGGCAAGCATCTGCTGCTGCTAACGGACGCGAACGGCCTCGTCACCTCTTTGGAGAAGGACGGTGGCCAGCCCGCTGACAAGCGAGTGCGGATCCTGATGGCTCAGATCCGCCAGCTACTCGGCCATGACGCGCTGAAGCAGGAGCGAGAGGGAGATGACTGGGGGATACGTGTCAGGTGGATCGACACGAAGCTGATGATCGCGGACTCTTTGACGAAGGCCGAGGCTGAGAGGAGTTTCTTGCTAGAGCGGCTGTCTGAGGGCCGCTGGTGTTTAGCGCAGACGAAGGAGATGCTCGCTGCTAAGGCAGCGGCAGGCGAGGCGCGCCGAGCCCGCAAGGCCCGGCCTGGCGATGCGGAGGGGTAGTCCTCCGATTTTCGTTTCCCTCCTTCTCCTCCTCTGCCTCCTCTCCCTCGTACCGTTTGGTTTGCATCCATATCGTTTATGCCCTGTGGTTTTATAGTTCCATATTCGCACGCCTGTTTAGGCACCGCTCTGCCGATTTTTGGAGATTTTCCCTCTTGAAGGGCAGTGGATTTCATTATATCATTTGTTTTCTCATCTGTCTAATGAAGCTTAGCCCCCGCACTGTTTTTGGGGTCCGGACAAAGGTCCGCCATTTTTTTTTGTCTCCGATTCCCCCGTCTTCCAAGATTGTGCCCGACGAGGACAAGCCTCAATGGTCACGGAGGGGTGTCAGAGATACGGGGATTTAGCAGGCGTGTATGTGTAGTATTTGTGCTTATCTTGATTGTTACAGCAGCGCACGCGTACGCAGGGCGCCCTTTTAGGATCAAGGGTATTAAAGCATCCTTATCATCGATCCCCGCCCGCCTGGGCGGACTCTCAAGTAGAGACGTGTCGTTTAGTGTGGCCGGGTATATTGCCCAGTGATAGTGATGGCGATATCAGGATTTTGATTTTGAAGGATAGTTGGCTAGATTCACAGAAGATCCTCGTCCCGTCCGGAGGTCTGTATTTGTCACCCACGAGAAAAAGTAAATAAAGGGGCAACGGCGGAAGAAGATCAAACACAAATTTGCGGCAGAGGTGATCCCCGTATTAAGTTCATGAATTTGTCTCGTGCGCGTATTCGTTGATTTTGAACCCCACAAGCACAAAACAAATGATATTAAGTTATGTTCCCACAAAACGACGGCAAGTAGTTTAGAACTCAACTCAGATCGGTGGGTGGGTTTTCGTTGTGGATATTCAAAGGAAGCAGGTTGTTTGTGTAGGTTATCTATTGCAGGCGGACGCAACAACAAATTGCAACGAAAGTGAAACAGACTCTGGCAGCGACGTCGTTCAAAGCAACGCGCGCCTTCGGGGTTTTGAGGCAACCACCCCAGTGTCATTATTGAAATCAGAAATCAGAGTCTGAGCATTGTCTTTCTCACACATTGGCTGGATTGCGGCTGATCGATGTTAGGATGGGAGTCCGTCGTCGTAAAAATTCGTTAATCCAGATAGCGGCGAATTTGCATCAGCGGGATCCTCATTGTCAGCGTATTCATTGTTGACGACAGTCTGTGGCCGTTTCTTTTGAACACAAGCAACGGCTTGTCTTTTGTTTGTGCCAATTTCTGTGCGCATTCTTTCTTTCACAAATATGCAAGACGGTCACCGCCTGCGGCGGGATGGATTCATCGCGAGAAGGGTGGCGCGATAAGTCGGGAGCATTCTAGCAATAAAGTAAAAGACAACCACGCCGAGACTCGGAATGTTCTACACCCAAGGCGGAAGAAACGAAACAGAGGAGAACAGAAGCCGAAGCGTCAGCGTGCGCGTTTATCGAAACAATGCGCAAACCAAGAGCGTAAGAGTATGTTGCTCATCGTGGGAAGGGTGCGGCTGTTGTTTTTTCGCCGGCAGAGATCAAGATCAACAGAATCGAACGAAGGCGGGTTGTGTACAGAATGAGTAGCGATGTTGGGATTGGAGAAGCGTCGCGCGTTCTGTCGTTGCCGCGTTCTGTCTTCGACACCGACGTCGGTTGAGTTCTATCGGCGACGCGTTGTCATTGATAATCCTGCGCGTCCTTGTATTCGAGCCGTCTATTTTGTGAGATTTCTGCCGCCCGTCATTGTCCGTCTCCCGGTGCATTCCGTCACGGATTTCGTTCCGTTATTGTGTTTACGGTTCATCGAAAGCTATTTTTTGCACTTGCACCCCTCCAGATCTGCAAACGGGTCCGCGCCCGCAGATTTGCGCCGCGGCATTTTTCCAAGTTCGCGCCTACAACTACACGCCCGTACTTCTCCGCGCCTGTCACAAATAATAATAATAATAATCATCGTCCGCCTGCAAAGAAATACTAAGCGCAAAAATTCGACAGAGTTCCCCACCACAACGGCCACTCTCAATCTCTCTCTCCTCTTCTCTCTCTCCTCTTCTCTCTCTTCTCTTCTCTCTCTCCTCTTCTCTCGACTCTCTCTCCTCTTCTCTCTCTCCTCTTCTCTCTCTCCTCTTCTCTCTCTCCTCTTCTCTCTCTCCTCTTCTCTCTCTCCTCTTCCCTCTCTCCTCTTCTGTCTCTCCTCTTCTCTCTCTCCTCTTCTCTCTCTCCTCTTCTCTCTCTCCTCTTCTCTCTCTGCGCTGCCGATTTAGAGCAACACATGTGCGCCGCTCCCGAGCGGGAGCGCCTCTTCTTTCAGACTAGGTCTGCGCGGCACTTGGGCGAAAACGACATTTTGCTCGCTCGCGCGCGGACCCGCCGCTGACGAATTGGCGAGCCAAAAGTGTACGCGGCGCCAAAGCGGGAGCTCAATGCTAAGGAAAGAGCGCGGTGCCGATGCGGGAACGACATTTGGCACTCTCGCGCGCGATGTGCACCGCGTCCCACTCCTCTCTCGCATTGTGCACCTCCGACGACAAAGCGTTCATGTTGAAATGTCAAACGTAGGTGTTCGTTTGTTTTTTGATGGGTAGGATGGCCCTGGAGGTGGCGACTATCGGCTGGCTAAGTGGCAGAGTGGGCGTACACGGTGATCAAGTTTGCCAGGTCGAGCGAGCCAGAGGGCCCCGCCCACTCCCGCCTTCCCTCCCACTTCAAAATAATGCACTGTGGCGCAACTTGATATCGGGATTGGAACGCGTTTCTACCTCTCAAACAGGGGGCGCTCGCGTGCGGTCCCGCGTATATTGTGAGAAGGTGGAAGAGTGTGTAGGGAGGCAGAGTTATTGAGCCGGCAGAGCGGGTGCCACGGCGGCCTCCCCCCATGGGGAAACTTGCACGCAGATGTTGAAGCCAGTGGGTGTGAAAGATGGTGCCTCGACGAGGGTCGGTACTAATCGTTGCAATGCTTCTTGAGGCCATTCTGGCGTCCCGTGGGGGGTCGAACGGCCTCGTAGCGCACTTCACTCGTATTGTAGTGGCCTTCGGCCAGTGCCGCCGATCCGGGGCGCTCCGACTGATGTGATCCTTCTTCGGCCTCGTCCCTCCTCTCTTTTTCCCTCCCCTCCTCTCACTCAGCATTTATCCAGTGGCCGTCGGCCTATCCCGCCACCGTGCGTGGGTGGTGGGTCAGAGGCCTCATGGATGTTGGTTGGGATCTCGTGGTTGGCTGGGACTTCTGGGGGCCTCTTGGGCGCCTCTTGGGGCTTCTTGGGGGCCTTTTGGGCCTCTTGGGGCCACTAGAGGGCCTCTTGGGGGTCTCTTGGGAGCCTCTTGGGGCTTCTTGGGGGCCTCTTCTGCGCCCCTTGGGGCCTCTTGGAGGCCTCCTCGGAGCCTCTTGGTGCGGGAGGGGTGGTACTCGAGTTCGGAACCCCCTCGGAGGCCACGATCCTTGTGAGGGGTGTCAAAAAACGCATCCGCCGGAAACTCGCCCCCCCCCCCCACCCCCCCTTCCCCGGCAGAGCCACCCCGGCAACCCCCCCAGAGGCTGAGGCTCAGCCTCGAGGCTGTAGCTGAGACTCTTGAAACTCACACGCCGGATCGGCGGATTTCACGTGTCCCAGTAGAGTGTGGAGCAGGACAATTGTGACGTGGTGTGCCGAAATGGCAGTGCCAGTGGGAGGATAGAGGAGGAGGAAGGAGGGAGGAGGGGAGGAGGATGAGGAGGAGGAGGAGGAGGAGGAGGATAGGAGGAGGAGGAGTGGGAGGAGGAGGTAGGAGGAGGAGGGGGGAAGGGTGTGGAATGGGGGGTGGGATGATGAGGAGGAGGTGGGAAGGAGGGGAGGGAGGAGGAGAGGAGACGGCGAGGAGGAGTAGGAGGAGGAGGTGGAGGAGGAGGAGGAGGAGGAGGAGGATAATAATTAGGATGATGATGATGATGATGATGATGATGAGGAGGAGGAGGAGGAGGAGGAGGAGGAGGAGGAGGATAATAATGAGGAGGAGGAGGAGGACGAGGAGGAGGACAAGGAACAACAACAATAACAACAACAGCAGCAACAACAACACCGACAACAACACCAACAACAACAACACCAACACCAACAACAACGACAACAACAACACCAACAACAACAACACCACCACCAACAACAACAACACCAACAACAACAACACCAACAACAACACCAACAGCAACAACAACACCAACAACACCAACACCACCACCAACAACAACACCAACAACAACAACAACAGGAGGAGGAGGAGGAATCAGAGAGGGCCGCGCTCAGGGCGAGAGGAGGATGTCCGCTAGGGCGACGGGGGAAGGGTTAAGGGTATGCTAAACAGATTATCATGTGGGGTCTTACCGTCGGAGTAATTACAGTGTTTGCTGACCCTCCGACATGAAACACCTGTTATCTGAAATGGTTTATGGGGGGAGGGAGGGAGGAAGATGCAGAACGAACGGAACGATAAAGAATGTTCGCGATTCGTTTGCGAGACCCCCTCCCTGGACGAATATTGTGATGAGAAGGCGGAGTTTGGCAAGCCGTCTGAAGCCAATGTCGAAACTCACGCACTGGCGCGATCATCTGGTGAGCTTCCCTCTCCAGGCAACCCGTTCTCAGACGAGTCTGCGTTCGGACGGCCGAATCGTGCCAAGATCCCTGTTCAGGTGCCTCCTGGCGTTCACCAGCATATCTTTTCACCCCTCCTTTTCACTATCTTCCTCATGGCACTCCTGCCTACGCCCACCGAGCGTATGTAACCCGAGCGCCACCAGACTGAATGTCAGAGCTCCAGCGGATGTGGCACGAGCGGGCTTCGACCATAACACGAGCGCGGAACCAATCAAACCTTGAACCAAAACGATTACGGATGGTCGAAGCCTGGGAGGGGGTCTCGCAATCGAATCGCGAGCATTCTGTATCGTTCCGTTGGTCCTGCAACTTCCTCCCTCCCTCCCCCATCAACCATTTCAGAAAACAGTTTTTTCATGTCTGAGGGTCGGCAAACACTGAAAAAACAAGTGTTTCAGGTTTTCCAGGTTTTTGCACATCTATCCACCTTGGCGCGCATGGATCCCCCCAAACCGGAAACACATGAAACACCTGGATTTTGCATGGTTTTCTCAGCCTCTGGCCTGATATTTTTTTCGTAATGTATTCTTTACCTCTGGTGGAGGAAATTTTTAAGCGCAATCGAAAGGACGAACTGAATTGATCAGGGGCTCTCCTCCTCCTCCTCCTCCTCCTCCTCCTCGCCCTCCTCCTCCTCCTCGTCCCTCCTCCTCCTCCTCCTCCTCCTCCTCCTCCTCCTCTCCTCCTCCTCCTCCTCTCTCCTCCTCCTCCTCCTCCTCTCCTCCCCTCCTCCTCCTCCTCCTCCTCCTCCTCCTACTCCCCCCTCCTCCTCTCCTCCTCCTCCTCCTCCTCTTCTCCTCCTCCTCCTTCTCCTCCTCTCCTCCTCCTCCTCTCCTCTTTCTTCCTTGACGCCAAGCTGGAAAACGCTAAAATCTCCCAGGCCTACATCGTGGTGGGTGGGGAGGAGGAGGGGAGGAGAGGAGGAGGAGGAGGAGGAGGAGGAGAAGGAGGAGGAGGAGGAGGAGGAGGAGGAGGAGGAGGAGGAGGAGGAGGAGGAGGAGGAGGAGGAGGATGGAGGACGAGCAGAAACATACAGGTGGGAAACTTTCCGCACTCACGCGCACGCTCCTTCTAGACACCCTCGTTTGCTGCCGCACCCTTGATCTCTGATCTCCGATTTCTTGGTCGACGTCGTCGAGTGGGGGACATTTTGCTAGCCAGGAGGGGCTAACTCGAGCTCGAATTAGAAGGGGAACCATACTTCATTCATACTCTTTGATGCCCTGCTGCGCGTGGTACGTTTGGTCAGCCTTCGCAGCCTGGACACGCCAGGCCCATGTACCGCTCCGTGAGCGGATGCGGCCACTCGGCGGGCCCCCCTTCGCCAGGCGGGCCCGCTGGCGCCCGCTTGCCTGCGCCGCGGTGGCGTCGCAGGCAGCCGGGCCTCCTGTGCCACCAGCTTCACCGTCTTGTGCTCGACCACCTGACGCGTCCTGGACTTTCGCCTTGACGCGTCCTTGAGGTGCCGCATTTCCCGGCCGCCTGCGGGCGCCATAGGGCTGCTCGCAGCGCACGCTGGAGCGCCATGCCCTGCTCAGCGGCCGCTGAGCCGAAGGGCGTGCGGGCGCCAGGCGCGGCCCGCTCTGGGGCACGCGGCTACGTTCGCAGGTCCCGCTCGATCTGCAGGAGCACGGATCGGGCGGGGCTGGGACAAGGAAACGTCCCTTCCAGAGCGCTCCAGAACGCTCTCAGAGCGTTTCCGAAGCGCTCCGAGGAGGCCGCGGCGCCCGATGTACATCCTCCAGAGCCGCCGGGTCTCAGAGTTTTTTGATCTAGCGGCCCAGCTTGGTGGCTCGCGCTGCAGACGCGGCTGCATGGGGCCGTCCGGAAGAGGCCTTCGCGAGGTACTGAGGCACCGCGGTGCCTACCACCCTAGCCCCGCGCCGGGCCGGGCCCTTGCCCGACAGAGGGTGTCATCAGTCTGTCTGTCTGTCACCCGAAGTTGTCCTCGTCATGGTTTCGTCTTGCCGGACGTCACCCGCGCCGTCGCGTGTGGCGCCCTGCGCGCCACGCGCGGCCGCCGCTCTCTGCGCGCCGTCGGCTCCCCCCGCCGTGGCCCCACTTCCAGGGAGGGCGAGGGCCCCCCCCCCGAGCGCGCGCCTGCGCCCCCCGCCGCTCGAGGAGGAGTGGGCCAGGATGGGCGGGGGGAGGTTGGTGTGGGAGGGAGGGGGGGCAGGAGTCACCGGAGGGGAGGGGGGAGGGGAGGGATGGAGGGAGGGAGGGAGCGAGAGAGGAGGGAGGGAGGGAGGGAGGGATGGAGGGAGGGAGGGGGGAGGGATGGAGGGAGGGGGAGTGATGGAGGGAGGGAGGGAACGGGGGGGAGGCTGAGAGGGAGTGGGGCTGCACTCTGGCTCGCCAGCCCTGGCTGACAATGCCCGGGGTGGCCCAGTCCGTGTCCTTCAATGCTGTCATGGGGGAGGGCGGGCGTTTGGGGATCGCTCCTCCTCCTCCTCCTCCTTTATCCTCGTGCCCCTCCCTTCATCTTGTGGTTTGATGGCTACACTGGCGGAAGGGGTGGGGAGACGCCCGCCGTCGTCAGGAGAAGGCGGGCAAGCTGAAGCCCACGATGCTGCAGCAGAGAAGGAAGGAGTCGGACGAGGACTTCTGGCTGCTGAGCGCATCGAGTATCGGGGGGGAGGGGTGGAGGAGTCCCCCCCGCGTTCATCGGGAGGCGAGTTTCTTCTTGTGAGACTGTTTTCTGTACGTCTTGATGCACGCTGTACGTTGAACTGATCTCAACTGTTTTTGATTGCTGCTTGCCAGCTCCCACCTACGTGTCGTGCCTTTTTTGTTTGTCAAGCGTGACGGTCCCGCAGAGGTGTCTGGATGTGTTTTGTCCGCTTCTGGCGCGCTCTGTCTGACAACTAGTTCCTAGAGGAGGGCGTGCAGGAGGAACGATTGCTGCCGATCCTTCCCTTTGCGTGTCCGCCGTGGAGGCCGGAGTGGAGCGCGCCTCCCGGCCGCCAAGCTGCGAGTGCCGCGCAGACCGCCCAGCCTTGTGGGAGCAGCCTTTTTGGTGAAAGCTCCAGCGCTTGCGCTATGGCACCGACTTCGCCACGCCACTAGCGGCGCGGGAGGCGCGCTGGGGATGGGGTGTCGGGAAGGGGTTCAGCGCCTACCCCTTTCGAAAACCAATGTTTATGTTTTTTTCTTGGTCATTCAATTTTCTGTCGTGACAGCGATTGTAGCCTCAGCTCGGAGTGGCGGCCACGCTCACAACTCGGGCCTTGGGGTCTTCCAATGGTAAGCTTGCGCAGAACCCGGACGTACGGGTATACTCAAAGCTAATATTTTCCAATACTTCTGGTTTTTCTGTTCCATCCGGGACCCGAGGAATCAGCGAATGCCGCGGGGTGGTGTGGGCACGTTGCTGAGAACAGGAGCCTACCATCTCGACATCGGCAGCATCCCGATCTGCTTAGCTTGGCGCCCCCTTGTATTTCCTGGTGATGCCCCATCGGCATCAGGGCGGGACGGCGGCGCCCTCTCTGAAGATCCCCTCCCTATCTCACGACGTCTTCCCCCCACACGATCCCCGCAATCCGATATATCAGAGACCCCTGGGCAAGTCTCGCCCGATGCGAAGGGCAAGAAGCTGAGCGTGCCTGGATCTCGGGAGGCTGGGGAAGGGGAGTTACGAAATCTGCTGCGTGCAGCTGGTTTCGGCCCCACTGCCAGGCACCTTCGTCGATATATGGCCGCCTCTGGCGCCGCGGCCGTCCGAGCGCTCGCAGGCGACACTGCCAGCGCTTGTGAGCGGCAGGGGATCCAGGGAGTCCTCCTTCTCCTGCCTCCCCCTCCTCCTCGTTCTCCTGCCTCCTCCTCCTCCTCCTCCTCCTCCTCCTCCTCCTCCCAGCTGCGTGCCGCTGATCCGCCAGCACGCCCCTGTGCTGTTCCCCCCCCTTGTCCAGTCGTCCGCCCCGAAGATCGCACGCCGCCCTGCCCAGATCGCACGCCGCCCTGCCCTCGTCAGTCTCGGTGTCGCTGTCGCCATCGGAGGCGCGAGGCAGCAGCAGCAGCAGCAGCAGCAGCAGCAGCAGCAGCAGCAGCAGCAGCAGCAGCAGCAGCAGCAGGGAGTGAAGGCCAGGAGTGAAGGCGTACCCTCGACTGGACGGTCCTGATCCCGTTTATAGCCAGGACCGCTTGCAGAGAACGGCCAGGAAGGGAGGCTTCGCCACGCCGTTCGCACGCTCCCTCGTCCTCTCTTTCTCCTGTCTTCTCCAATCGGTTGCACTCGCTGCCAGACCAGCAGCAGAGAGCAGCTTCCGCCGCCGTGCCAGCGCTCGCCCGCCCTTCCGCCCTGCCCCCCGCGCGCGCCCCCGCGAGGAGCAGGGCGAGGGCAACGACGAGGACGGGAAGGCCCCGCGAGGGGCGCGGTGTGGGGTGACCCCCTCCCCCCCCCCTTGGCGTGGCCGCCGCCCACCTTGCCTCCCGGCTGCTGGGCTGCCTTCCTGCGCCGCTGGAGCGCCGCCCCCCTTCGGCTCTTCCTCGCTCCCCCCCCCCTCGCCCTCCTCGCTCCCCCACCTCTCTCCCCTCCCCTCCCTCCACAATTTCACAGAGGGCACAACTCTCCTCTCAGCCCTGGACCTGTCCTGGAGATCTCCGGCCCCCCCGTCCGCGCCCTGCTTTTACGCGCAGGATGATGATGCCGAGTTGTTTTTCCCCGATGTGTTTTTTGCGACACGATTGTTTTTTGAGACCCGCTGCAGCGTGGGCCTCATTTTCGGATCGGCGCTGAGCTTCTGTCGTTCTGAATGGCGCTCTCGCCCCAGCGCGGATCAATTTTCTGCATCCCAGTCCTTCTCATCGTTGTCGCCCCCTTTTTTCCCTTCCTCCGCCTTTCCCTGGTCCTCCTGCTCCTCCCGCTCGTTCTACTCCAGTTCCTGCTGCTGCTATTCGTCCTCGTCCTCATCCTTCCTCCTCCTCCTCCTCCTTTTCCTCCTGCTCCTGCCCCTCCTCCTCCTCCTCCTCCTCCTCCTCCTCCTCACCCGAAACTTCTCCTCCTCCTCCTCCTCCTCTTCCTCCTATGTACGCAGCTTCCTTTTTTCCGCCTGCGCATAACACGATAGGGTCTTTTGTGGAGTGCCAGGTCGGCTATGACACGCGCGTCCGCGGATGGGCAAGAGGACAGGATGGGAGAGAGGGATAGGACGTCAGACATGGCGCGAGCGCACCTAGCTTGCCGCCTGCCCCTCGCCTCCCTCCCTCCGGGTCCTGTCTACCCTTCCCTTGCTCTCCCTAGCCTCTCTCCCTCTGTCTGCCTCCCAACCTCTCTCGCTCTTTTTCCCCTACCGCCCCTTTGCCCAGTCCCTCCTCCCCTGGTGCAGGGCAAGACCTGGATGGACCCGCAGCTGATAGCCAGCCTGCAAGCTGTGGAGTGGGGGGCCGTCCGGGCCTGGGCGGGACGGGGATGGAGCGTTCACACCTCCGCGTTTTTATCGGCGGATCGCAGGTGCTGACGATACGTTGATCCGCCAAGTACATGCTTTGCCAGCCTTGCCTTATCAGACTGGTCAGTTCCTGCGATGGTACATGCGTGCGCGATTGCGTCTGATGCAGATGAGGAGAACTGGGCTCTCCAACGGCCTGTCACGAAGCCCAGCCATCGTAGCCTCACCAAATAATGAATGATAGGGCCCCTCCCTTCCACCGTGGGCCACCTTCCTCGCTTACGTTCTGTTTTGGGGCCCAGCGATGCGGCAAGATTTGCCTGACCAGCAGGCCGCGGCGTTGCAGGCCACGGTGTGCATAATCTGTGCGATATGCAGAGCGGGTGGCAGGCTCCCTCGTCTTTCTCGAGCGCACCTCCACTCCACCGCGTGTGTATGTGTATATACATATATGGGAGATCCCGGGCCCCGGGCCCCGGGCCGGGACCTCCCTTGTATTTCGGTACCCCCCAGCACCCCCGGCGGCTTTCCTGGAAGCCCGGGGCCTCCCTGGGGCGTCCCCGGACCCTCCTCGAGGCCTCTCCGGCGCTTCTATTAGGTTACCGGGCAGCCCAAGATGGCGCCAAAACGACCCAAGAAGCCCCCAAGACGCTCCACGACGGCTCCAGAGGCCTCCGAAGACGGCCCAAGAGGCCTTCAGGAGGCACCCCAAAAAAGCGCCAAGAGGCAAACATAATTGATTTTCAATAGGAAAACACATATCTTCAGCAGACACATTTTTTCGGTATTCACGGCGTTGAGAACGGTCGAAGAGACCCCTACGATCGCCCCAAGACGGTCCAAGAGGTTCCCAAGAGGCGCCCAAGACGGCCCAAGAGGGCGCCAAGACGGCCCAAAAGGCTCCCAAGACGGCCCAAGAGGGCCCCAAGACAGCCCCAAGAGGGGTCCAAGACGGGCAGCCCGAACCCAGAATCCGAGCCTTCCGCCCCAAAAAGGCCCCAGGATGCCCCAAGAGGCCCCCGAAAGGCCCCCAAGAGGGCCCCCAAAGGCCCCCAAGAGGCTTCCAAGGGGCGCTTAAGAGGCCCCACAAAGGCCCCAAAGAGGGCCCAAGAGGCACGGGCGGCGGAAAGTCGGCGAAGGCAGTTTCGATACCATGCCGGACCCGGCGCATGGGAGGAGGAGCGGGAGGAGGAGGACTGGGAGGAGGGGGATCGGGAGGAGGACAAGCTAATTAGGTGCGCTCGCGTCATATCTAACGTCCTCCCCCTCCCCCCCATCCCTTACCATCCGGGATCAAAGTTGCCCCAAGTGCCCTCTTGAACCGACGACGACGAAGACGACGAAACGACGGCGCGGCGCCCCAAGAGGCGACGACGACATTGCGACGACGACGACGACGACGACGGCACGCCCCAGCAGGCTCCCCAAGACGCCCCCCAAACCCATGTTCCCGCAATGCCTTTTGGGAAGCCGGTTAATCAGGCCTCCGCCCCCCTACGCAGCCATCCTCCCCGAAAGCCTTCCAGAATGCGGATTGACACGCATGGACTTCTCACTGCCCATATTGCGTTCAGCGTTGTGGGCAATCTACTTCCCGCTCAAACCATCTGTGGTCCACTCACTTCAGTGGAGCAGTGCACTCGTCAAGGCCTGGGGTCTGCTAGAACCTGAGCGCGCGAAGCGCGTGCGATGGTTCTAGTATATAGATAGATAGATAGATTGATAGATATATAGATAGATAGATAGATAGATATATAGATCTCCGTAAAGGCTTCGCCCCCTGCCGCCGGCCCCCCCTCTCTCTCGGATAATGGGCAACGCAACAGTGAAATCATGAGGCCTGGGCGCTGCCGTGAAGCAGCGTCGGGACTTCACGCGAAGACGATAAGCAATCGGCAAGTCAAATTGAGATTCTGATGATATTGTTGAATTCGGTGTTGTATTTCGAGCCTGCTTGCCCTACAGCCTTGTGGCCCCACAAGGGGGCCTGCGGATATCGGGACTCTGCATCTCACTGGGACCTTAGTCTAGATCACGTCCCCACATTACTTGGCCAACTTAAGGTAGACCCGCCCCGTGACCATGGACCCAGTGAGTGTGACCCGTCGCCGCGCCGCAGCAACGATCGCTGACCATACGGCGGGAAACTCATGCCTTGCCCCGCCATGGAGACAGTAGCTCGAGGGAGGCTCGCATTTTCGTCAGAAGCATCTCATCTCTTCGGCGAGAATACGTTCTCATCTGGTAATCGTTTGTATGATTCGGGACACTGCGCACCATGTGGCGGGTAATGCTGCCTCCTAACCAGCCGTGCTCATGAACAGTATAGGCTGGTCTACTGATGCTTGCATTGGTCAAGCGGCTTTTGCCATTCCATCGACACCCTGAAGAGCTTAGAGGTCAACGGAAGCCACCATATTGAAGTAAGAGCTGCAGTGACTACGTTCGGCGTGGGTCCGATGGCCGTGGATTTGAAATGAGTGCGGGTCTTTTGATTTGGGAGCCTCTTGGAAGCGTATGTGGCCGATGTTGTTGGCATTTTTGGGCTTTCTTTAGGCCCTCTTAGGGGCCTGGTGGGTGTTATGAGGGCCATTTTTGAGGGCATCGATCAAACATGTAGTGGTACTGAATCGCTGCCCTTCGGAGTCCGAAACATTGATTCTTAGGGCCGTCTCAGGGCGCTCTTGGGATGCTCTTGGAGCCGTCTCGGGGCTCTCTTGGAGCAATCTTGAGGCCTCAGAAGCCCATCGGAAGCGACACGGAGAGAAGATCAAATCAATTGAAGACCCTTGGGTTTTCGGAGACATGTGGCCTCTCAGGGGCACCCTTGGGAGCTTCGGGGGACTCTTGGAACCGTCTTGGAGCCGTCTTAGGGCCTCCTTGAAACATGCTGGAGAATATTTGAGGCCATCTTTGTCGTCTTTCTTGGGCCCACTTTGAGCTGCATATGGCCCGAAACTGTGTTGACGAGCTCGGACTCCCTCTTGAACTCAATTTTCGACCCCCGGGGATGGGGAAATGGGAAGGGGGGACAGCGCTACATTTCACGTGCCTTCTCACCCCTAGCAAGCAGGTGTCGGCGGATTTTCGTCGAGGCGTGTGAAGGAGAAGGGACCCAGTTGGCATCACATCGAATGGGATCGGGGGGATCAAACTGGAGGTGAGGGTAAACGGGCGACGGGTAAAGGGAGGGGAGGGGAGGGGAAATATGGAAGGGAAGGGAATGGACGGGAGAGAAGAGAGGGTCAAAGTTGAGTGAGTGAAGGGCGGGTAAAAGGAGATGAGAGGGAAAGCGAAACCACGGAAATGGGGAGCGGGAAGGGGGATGATGCCATTCATGACGGGAACGGGGACGAGAGATACGGGATATTTTGAGGGGAGGGGCGGGAGGGCATATGAGGCTACCCGAGGAAGGACAAGAAAGGAGCGGATGCGGGTACAGGAGGGAGAAGGTGGCAGGTGCGTTCGACGACGACGAGGAGAAGGAGAAGGGGAGGGGGAGGGGGGGGAGGAGGAGGAGGAGGAGGAGAGGAGGAGGAGGAAGAGGAGGAGGAGGAGGAGGAGGAGGAGGAGGAGGAGGAGGAGGAGGAGGAGGAGGAGGAGGAGGAGGAGAGGAGGAGGAGGAGGGGAGGAGGAGGAGTGAGGGGGAGGGGGAGGAGGAGGAGGAGGAGGAGGAGGGAGGAGGAGGAGGAGGAGGAGGAGGAGGAGGAGGAGGAGGAGGAGGAGGAGGGGGAGGAGGACAAGCCAGGTGCGCTCGCGTCATATCTGACATCCTACCCCTCCCTCCCATCCCTTACCGTGGCGTAGATCCCCTCTCTACTCGCACAGTCGGATGTCGAGCAGGGCAATGATCCCGAAAGGGTACGCGATGCATTGTAGAGTACGGCACGGCATGGCGCAGAAGAGCACCGTAAAGCGTAGTATGTCACAGCATGGCGTGGCGTGGCGTAGTGAAGAATTGCATCACAAAGCTTTGCAACGCAAAGCATGGCATCGCACAGCGACCCCGAACATACCATTGCATAGCATGGCGTTGAAGATCTAAGCGTAGCATGGCATATCACGACGTGGCACTTAAGCACTGCATATCACAGCTTCAGCTGAAGGCATGGCATCGCGCAGCGGAACGCAACCTAGCATTGCATTGCATGCCGTGGCATGGCACGGGAAATGACGCCAGCGCTACAGCGGGAGCACGATTCGGAACGAGCGGAAGCGCGGAAATGAGGCCCGCGCTGCAGCGGGAGCGCGATTCGGAACGAGCGGGGCCCGAAAATGAGGCCGGCGCCTCAGCGAGAGCAGCATTTTGAACAAAAATGCAGGCGAAAACCCAACTCCGGGGAATCCTGCGTGTAAAAAAACAGTACGCGGGGGGGGGGCGAACACTCCCAACCCGTCATCAGGGGAAGGAGGAAAGTAGTATTCATATTGAGTAATTGTGGAGGAGGAGGAGGATCGGGTCGGGCGAAAGGGGGGGTTTGGGAAAGGGGGGGTTACGAAATCTGCTGCATGCAGCTGGTTTCGGGCCCACCGAGGGGCCCATTCCTCGATACATGGCCGCCTCCGGCGCCGGGAGGCGCCGGGAAAATCAGCTACGTGAGCTGATTCTCAAACCCCCCTTTGCTATCCCCCCCTTTCGCCCGACCCGAGAGGAGAGGAGGAGGAGGAGGAGGCGGAGGAGGAGGAGGAGGAGGAGGAGGAGGAGGAGGAGGAGGATGGAGGAGGAGGGAGGAGGAGGAGGAGGAGGAGGAGGAGGAGGAGGAGGAGGAGGAGGAGGAGGAGGAGGAGGAGGAGGAGGAGGAGGAGGAGGAGGAGGAACAGCAGGAGAAGGAGGCGAGGTACATCATATAATGTCGAAGAAGCTGGAGGGGAAGGGTAGGAGAGGGGACGGAGGAGTGGGATGGGTTGGGAAGGTGGAAAGAGTTTTGGTTGAGGTGGATGGGGGGAGAGGGGGGAAAAATATGACGAGGGCGGAGCACGACACAAGGGATGGGCAGGAGCACCACCTGGAGGTGATAGAGGACAAGGAAGCGAAGCTCACAAGAGTGAAGGCGCATGCCTCCTGGCGCCCTTCGCCACGCCATTTCTTGTGCCCCGTACGCGCCTTGGGGCATTCGGGGAGAATCAGTGGATTGCAACCCGCCTGCACGCACAGGCCGGCAACACAGCACGTGCAATTCAGGCAACACAGCACCAGGCAATTCGGGAGCCACGAAACTTGATGTAATCCACTCGTGTGCTCTCATCGTGGGTGACCTCGGAGCAGTTCTGGCTTGTCGGATAGGGTACGGCTTCGTTTTTGGCCATCTCTGCTCCCTTTCAGCCCACAGTCAAACAATCCTGCCTGCCCTCGATCCTGCAGCCGCTGTCCCTGCATTCGGCCGTACCCCTCGAACCCCCTCCTCTTCCAGATGTTTCTCTTCCTTCACCTCGTCATCATGACACTCCTGCGCCTTATCCTCATCTCCTTGTTCCCCCTTTCCGCAACGGCTCGCCTTGCCCACCACTGGTGCTCCGAGCCGAGCGCATGCGCGCTATGCGAGCTAGAGGGTCACGCCCCTCTGCGATGGGATCTTTTCGAGGGGTTCACGGGTGATTCCTGTTTTCGACACTCACGCGCCAGATCATTTGGCTTCGTGACTTATCCGAGATGTCGATGTACAACAGATTGTTACCCCTTTCCCTCCACCTCAGGGGCTTGGAACCACGGGTGCATGGTAGCCAGGGCGAGGGCGGGTCCTACGTGGCATGTGCCAGGTCCCGCCCTGATGGCCAAAGCCGACGAGTCTGACTTTTGACCAATCCCATACGAGGAAGGGGCTGTTGGGGTTTTTCAAAAAACCAAGTGGGCCTGTAAAACATCGAGAGGTTCATGTTGCGGAAGGCCCGGATGGTTTTTAAAGGCCCGGTCCCGTGTTGCGGGAGGCTTGGACGGTTTCGGAAGGCCCGACCGCGTGTTGCGGAAGGCCCGGACGGGTTGGGAAGGCCCGTTCCCGTGTTGCGGAGGGCCCGGTCGGGTGCGGAAGGCCCGTCCCCGCGTTGCGGAAGGTTTGGACGGTTTGGGAAGGCCCGGCCGCGTGCTGCGGAAGGCCCAGACGGTTTGGGAAGGCCTGGATCCGCGTTGCGGAAGGTTCGTTTTTTTTTAAGGCCCAGCTCCGTGTTGCGGAAGGATTAGACGGTTTTGGGAAGGAACGGCTGCGTGTTGCGGAAGGCCTGGATGGTAAAGCCTTTAAGCACGAAGCCCCGAACCCTAAGTTTTAAACTCAAAGTATGCTCTAGAGCCCAAGACTCTAAGACCCCAATGCCCTAAGACCCTGAGACCCTAAGGCCCTAATATCCTAAGACCCTCAGACCGTGAGACCCAAAGACCCGAATACCCGAATATCCTAAGACCCTAAGACCTGAAGACCCTCAGACCCTAAGACCCTAAGACCGTACGACTCTAAGACTCTTAGACCCTAAGGCCCTCAGACCATCAATATCTCAGACCTGGGGGCCCTAAGACCCCAAGGCCCTAAGACCGTGAGACACTAAGACACTAAGACCCTTAGACCCTGAGACCCTAAGGCTGTATGGCCGTCAAACCCTGAGGCCCGAATTCCTTAAGGCCCTGATACCCTGATGCCCTAGGACCCTAAGACCCTAAGACCCTAAGACCCTAAGACCCTGAGACCCTCAGGCTCTAAGGTCCTAATGCCCTAAGACATTAATACCGTAAGACCCGCAGACCCGACCCTCAGACCGTCAGACCCTAAGACACTACGACCGTGCGATATTACGGCCCGAAGACCCGAAGACCCCAACACCCGAAGACCCGAAGACCCCAAGACCCTAGACCATCATACCTTGAGACCCCAAGACCTGAAGACCCGAAGACCCTAAGATCCGAAGGCCCGAATACCCGAATACCCTAAGACCCTAAAGCCCTAAGGCCCGAAGGCCCGAATACCCTGATACCCCGAGACCCTAAGACACTGAGGCCCTCAGCTCTTAAGACCCGAAGACCCTGAAACCGTCAAACTGTGAGACCCAAAGATCAAACCCGAATACCCTAAGAACCTAAGATCCTAATACCCTCAGACCCTAATACCCTAAGACCGTACGACCCTGAGGCCCTAAGACCCTAAGGCCCTCAGAACCTCATACCCTCAGACCTGGGGGCCCTGAGACCCCAAGGCCCTAAGACCGTGAGGCAGTAAGACCCTAAGACCATCATACCCTGAGACCCTAAGGCTGTAAGGCCCTCAGACCCTGAGGCCCTAGTTCCCTAAGGCCCTAAGACCCTGATGCCCTAGGACCCTGAGACCCTAAGACCCTGAGACCCGAAAGTCCTAAGACCCTGAGATCCTAATACCCTAAAGTAAGACATTATACCGTAAGACCCGAAGACCCGACCCTGAGACCCTCAGACCGTCAGACTCTACGACCCGACGGCCCTACGATACTACGACCCGAAGACCAAGAAGAACCCAAGACGTGAAGATCAGAAGACCCGAATACCTTAAGACCATCAGATCCCAAGATCCCAAGACCTGGAGACCCGAAATCCCTAAAACCCGAAGGCCCGAATACCTCAATACCCTAAGACCCTAAGACCCTAAGGCCCGAAGACCCGAATACCCTGGTACCCTGAGACCCTAAGGCACGAAGGCCCTCAGTCCTTAAGACCCGAAGCCTCAAAACAGTCAGACCGTGAGGCCCTCAGACTTTAAGGCCCTAAGACCCTGAGACCCTAATGCCCTGATACCCGAAGACCCTGAGACCCTGAGACATTGAGACCCTAAAACCAGGACCCCGAAACACTAGGACCCTAAGATCCTAACACCTTTATGCCCTTAGACAGCCCTCACACCGTAGGACCTTCAGACTCAAAGACCTTAAGACCCTAAGACCCTGAGGCCTCAAGACCCGAATACCCTAATACCCTAAGACCCTAGGGCCCGAGGACCGTAAGACCCGAATACCTAAGACCACGCAGCCCGAATACCCTAGGACCGTAAGACCCGATGGCCTGAAGACCCTAAGACCCGAAAGCCCGAAGACCCGGAGACCCGAAGACCTGAAGACCCGACGACCCTAAGACCTGAAGGCCCACAGACACGAGGATTGTAAGACCTAAAGGCCCGAATGCCCGAATACCCTAAGACCCTAGGACCCTAAGACCCTAAGCCCTAAGACCCAAAGGCCCCAATACCCTAAGGCCCTAAGACCTTAATGTCCTAAGACACTAATGCCTTAAGACCTTAAGGCCCTCAGGCACTCATATCCCAAGGCCCTTAGGCCCTAAGACCCGAAGACTTACAGGCCCGTGTGCCCTGGGACCCTAAGACCCGAATGCCCCGATACCCTTAGGACCTTAAGACCTTGAGACCCTAAGACCCTACGGCCCCACGGCCCTATCATCCTCAGACCTTCAGACCCGAGGACCTTAAAACCCTGAGACACTAAGACCCTACGACCTGAAGACCCTAAGACCCTACGACCCCAAGACCTTGAGTCCCTAGGACCCGAATGCCGTAGTACCCTAAGACCCTGAGACCCTAAGACCCGACGACCCGAAGACCCAAAGATCCGGGGACCCGAAGACCCTACTGCCTAAGACCCTAAGACCCTAAGACCCTCAGATCCCAAGGGCGTAAGACTCTAAGACAGTAAGGCCCAATGGCTCTCAGACCCTAAGGCGCTAATTCTCTAAGGCCTTTCGGCCCTATCACCCTGAGACCCTGGGACCCCAAGTCCCTGATACCGTAAGACCCTAAGCCCCCAAGACCTGAAGACCCCGATACCCTAAGACCCGAAGACCCGAATATCCGAAGACCCGAAGATCCGAAGACCCGAAGACTGGCATACCCGCAGACCTTCAGACCCGAAGACCCGAAGACCCGCAGACCCGAAGACTCTGAGACCTTAAGACCACCCTAAGACCTTAAGGCCCTAAGGCCCTAAGACCAGAAGACCCGAACCACATGGGACCTTGAGACCCTGATACCCGAAGACCCTAAGGCCCTAAGACGTGAGGCCCAAAGGCCCTGATACCCTAAGACCCGAAGGCCTTAAGATTCCGAGGCCCTAAGACACTAAGACCCGAGACCCTCTGACCGTAAAATCCCCAGACCGTCAAGCCCGAAGGCCCTAAGACCTTAGGGCCCTAGGACCTATGGCCCTCAGACCCTGGGACCCTAAGACGCTAAGACCCTAAGACACTAAGACCCTAAGACCCCAAGACCCTAAGACCTGACGGCCCTAAGACCCTAAGACCCTAACGCGAAGACCCGAATACTTGAAGACCCAAAGACCCGAATACCCAAAGACCCCCCAAACCTAAGACCCTAAGACCCGAAGGCCCGAAAACCCGAAGACCCGAAGGCCCGAAGACTCCAATCCCTTAAGACCATAATGCCCTAAGACTCCTAATGCCTTAAGACCCTAAGACCCTAAAACCCGAATGCCCTAACAACCCCAGACCTCAAAGCCTTAAGGCCCGAATGCCGTGATACCCTGATACCCTCAGGCTCTAAGATCTTAAGACAAAAAGACTCTAACACCCTGAGAACCTAATGCCCTAAGACCTTGAGGCTGGCAGACCCGAGTACCTCACGACGTAAGACCCTAGCTTGGACCCGAAGTCCCTGGGGGCCCTAAGACCCGAAGACCCGAAGACCCTAAGACCCAAAGGCCCTAAGGCCTAAGACCCAGAGCCCTGACACCTAAGACCCTAAGACCCTGAGACCTAAAGACCGCGAGACCCTACAGTTCTGATGCCCTGAGACCCGAAGACCCTGAGGTCCTGGGGCCCTCGGACCATAAGACCCGAAGACCCTAAGACCCTATGGCCCTAAGGCGCGAAGGCCGTAAGACCCCAAGTCCCTCTGGAGCTAATGCCCTCAGTCCTTTAGGCCCGCAGGCCCGCGGGCCCTAAGGCCCTCAGGCCCTCAGATCCTGATGCCGTCAGACCCTAAGACCCTACGACCCTGAGACCGTAAGATCGTCAGACCCGAAGACTCTAAGACTTTGAGACTGCAGTACCGTAAGAACCTATGGTCCTGAGACCCTGAGACCTTGAAACCCTGAGACCCTAAGACCCGAAGACCCGAAGACCCCAACACCCCTAATCCCTAAGACCTGAAGACCCTTAGACCCTAAAACCCTAAGACCCGACCGAATACCCGAATACCCAAAGCCCCGAAGACCCGAATACCTAAGACCCCAGACCGTAAGACCGTAAACCCTTAAGACCGTGAGACCCCAAAGACCTCATACCCTCATACCTTCAGACCCTTAGACCCTAAAACCCTAAAGCCCGAATGCCCGAAAACCGGAATACCCAAAGACCCGAAGACCCTAAGACCCTAAGACCCTAAGACCCTGAGACCCTAAGCCCGTAAGCCCGTAAGCCCGTAAGACCCAAGAACATTCAGACCCTAAGACCCTAAACCCTAAACAACTTGGGCGGCCAGCCCCCCACGTTGGGGAGCCATGATGTTGCGGAAGGCCTGACGGACGCCCCCCCTACGCTGAGACTCTACCATGTTGCGGAAGACCGGTGTTGCGGACTGCCCCGCGAAAAGCCGCCTCCTACTTTGGGGAACCACCTTATTGCGGAAGGCCAAGCGAAGGGAGCCACCATGTTGCGGAAGGCCCGGCGTAAAGCCCCCTTGCGTTGGAACGCAGCCATGTTGCGGGAGGCCCGGCGAAAAGCTTTCTACGTTTGGGACCCACCATGTTGCGGAAGGTCCGGGGATAACCTCTTACGTTGGAAAACCACCATGTTGCGGAATGCCCGGCGAAAAGCCTCCTACGTCGGGGAGCCACCATGTTGCGGAAGGCCTGGCGGACATCCCCGTACGTTGGGATGCCACCGTGTTGCAGAAGGCCGGGACGGTTTTTTAAGGTCCTGGTCTGATGGGCCTATTTCGGGCCACCGGCCGCGCAGCGGCGCGGCGGACTCGCCGATGCACTATCAGTGCCATTATCTCTTTCCTTGTTTCCTCTCCTCCTCCTCCCCCTTCTGCCCCCCTTCTGCCCATTGTTCTTCGTCATCCCCACATTTCGCTCCTGTCTTTTCCGCTACATCCCGCTGTTGCTGCTGCTTCTGTTCTTCTCCTCATTCACTTGCTGCCCGTCCTCTGGCATTGATCTCCTTCAGTGGCAGCTGGCCCTCATCTGTGCTGGGCGCCAGGCCTTGATCCAGTTGTACCTCATCCAAGAGAAGCAGATTGTGATAGTTGCCAATTCCAGCAGCGTTAAGAAGGTGGTGGACCTGATTGGAGAGTCGCCCCCCCCCAGCCTCGCCTGTCGC